TGGCATCAGGCCCTGGTTTTGCTCACAGCTGCCTCCCTGCGTGGAGGAAAACCCGGTTTTGTTCATGCTGAAAGGGAAATAGGCTGAAGCAAGCACCAAGATAAACAAATCTGGGGTGGGTTTAGCACCAGGAGACCTGGTCTGCACCCAAAAACTCACCCCTGTCCTCCAAGCATGGCTTTCACAGCAGATACACGGGGTATGCCCTCTCCTCTGACACATCCATAGCTCCAGGCAATGCCTCTGGTCACTTCATCTCCAGTGCCCTCACTGGCACCTGGTCCTGATGGTGGGATGCATCCTGCCCACCCACTCCGATCCCACCTCATTTCCCCAGGGAAGGGAAGGATGCAACTCACCATCCTGAGTAAGCAATCCCTGCATGGAGTCAGGCATTGCTTCCTTTGGGTTTCTTATCCCAGTTGTGGTGGGGACCTGGCCAGGCCAATGAAGTGCTCTGGTAACAAAAAAAGAGTTGTGAGCCTACTTCTACAGTAGGAAATAAGCCAAGGACAGGCACATTTGCCCACTATAAACACTGACCCACGCCAAGAAACACCTTCCAGACCATGCCAAGGAGACAGCACGGGGCCAATGGGCCCTTTGGATGTGACTACCCTGTTTTGGGGATGGAAAGGGTGCCACAAGCATGCCATAACATGTGGCTTCATGACTGGAGGACCCTGCCTTGTGTTGTTTACCTGGATGGATGGATGGATGGATGGATGGATGGATGGATGGATGGATGGATGGATGGACCTCAGCATTTAACCTCAGGAGCTTGCTTTCACCCACTTCTTCTTGCCACTCCCCAGTGCATCCAGAGCAGCATTCAGCATGGAGGGTCTGCAGTGGGAGGTGAGGTTATCAGTGGGGATGCTGCTGTGACAGATCCCTCTTGCTCCAAGTAAGAGGAAGGGGCCATGGAGGCAGGACCATTTCAGTAATGGTCATTTCATTGCCTGGGAGATGCTGAGCATCGCTCCTGCTGGTTTCCTTGGAAGCAGGAATGCATCCATGGGAAGTGTTGGGTTTCTGTCACCAAACCTTAGAGACTGTGGGTATTTTGGGATATGAAATATGGTCAGACCTAAAAATTCATCAAACTCTGCTTCCCCTGAACCCTTCACACCACAGCAGGCAGCAAAGTATGGGGAGAGCATCTGTGTCCGGATACATCCTCCCCATTGGGGAGGTCCATATTCCCAGGGAAAGCTTTGTGCCACTCCAGTCATGAGGAAAAGGGACACAGAGCAGCCTGGGGATGTTGTTCTGGAGCGGGCAGAACATCACCCTGCCTCTCAGCACTGCTGACATCCAGCTGGGAGCTGGGGGATGAGCAGACAAGTCAGTCTCCCAGCTTTTGCAGGGTGAGGCTCATCCCCAAGCCTCCTCCTTGCTCTCCTGTCTGCTGTAGCATGGGTTGTGCTGGGCCCAGCTCTCCTCCTTGCCATTGCCAGTGCTGCCTGCTGAAGAGTCAGACAGCATGTAGCCCTTCTGCTGCCTTTCAAGGCTTCCTGAGGACTCAGGGCTCTGCATCTTATCCTGGCACTGGGCTCATTGCAGGGTCCAAGTTCTGGCCCTGGAGCTCCTCTCTTGGTGCCGTCAGTTGAACAAGGACCTGTGGAGCCTCAGCCCATCGTGAGACCTGTCATTGTGCTGACGATAAATCATAGAATCACAGAATGGTTTGGGTTGAAAAGGAACTTAAGCTCATCCAGTTCCAACCCCCTGCCATGGCAGGGACACCTTCCACTAGAGCAGGTTGGTCCAAGGCTCTGTCCAACCTAGCCTTGAGCACAGGGATGGAGCATTCACCGTCCCTTTGGGCAGCCTGTGCCAGTGCCTCAACACCCTATCATGCAGTGATCAAGCAACCAACCAATGCCCCAAACAATGCACACACCCTTGCCTTTCCCTCTGGAAACGCTCCTGTGTGATGGGGATGCTGGGGAGTGAAGCCTTTCTGTGCTGTTTGCATGCCCAGCTCCTAAGAAAGCTCCTAACAAAAGCTCCTTGGCACCACAATGAGTCAAGGAACAGCATTTCTGGAGGAGTGAGCAACGTGGGAGCAGCCCCAGCTTTGCCATGACAGGTTTCTACATTGCATTACGGAGAGGATGAGTGTTCACACTGGTTAGAGGAGTGCAGCGCTGCAGGGGCAAGCTCTGCATGCAGATGTATGTGATGGGTGGTCCCAACGTAAGGACATCCATGGGTGAAGCATCACCAAGATGCTGGATGCTGACATCCAAAGAGCCCTCTAGGTCAGGGTGAGAAGCCTTGTATTGTTATCTCCATCTTACGCACCTGAATCAGAGACACTGAATGACTCTCCCAAGGTCAATGGGGAAGCAGTGGTAAAGCTTGTTCTGAAGTCTCACCTAGACCACCTTCTTCCCGCAGTCCCTCATGGGCTTCCCCTCTCTACTTCCATACAATTGCTGGAGGCATCAGGCAGTGAGTTGAAGACAGGGTTAAAACCCATGGGTGAGGAGAAAGAAGGTGGAATTCCCATTGTGTTCGTGCATGGTGGGTTGCAGGTGCTATTGTTGTGTTTTGGCTGTGACCATTTATGAAAGGCATGGAGGGAGATAGTGATAGCTTAGTATCACAGAGATAGTTTAGTATCAAAGGGGCAGGAAGATGTTCAAGGAGTCATTGCAAAGAGGAGAATCAGAAAGAGGGGACAGAATGATCCATAATGGGACAGAAATGCACAGCTCCACCTGATTTGATCCCCTCTTTACTCATAGGTACCAAGAAAATCAGGTTCCCTTCGTGCTGCCCAGGCCCAGCCTATAGGCCACACAGCCATAGCAGAAGGTTGCATCCCACTTCCAAGCATCCCATGGATACAAACTTGGTACCAGCTTTGGGGTTTGGATGCAAACCCTTCCTTGAGATGATATTAGATGGACAGAATTACCCTGCACGGTCAAACCAAGGCATATCCCTCATTGCCATCAGTGTGGGTGCAAGCAGACACTGGAGGGTAGCCAGAACCTGCTGGCTTTGGTGTCAGGGACCCACATCCATCCTTCCCTGGGCAACTTCCATCTCATCCCATGCACAGTCGATGGTTTTCCCCCTGGATATCGCTCCAGGAAACAGGCTTTCAACAGGCAACCACCACTTTGTGGCCTGTCCAGCGCTGCACAGAGGCACCAGCTCCCTCTCGTGGGCTTAGCCTGGCTCTCTGCACTGGAAACCATCCAGAATTCCCCTTTTGTGGCTATTCTCCCACCTCAGAACATTCCTCAGTGCACAGACATGGATGTTTCATGGAAAGGTGCCAAATTCCATCAAGATTCCTCTCGGAGGCAGGGTTTTTATAGCTTTGTCACCTTTTTCTCTTCCCTTTCTCACTGAGGCTGGGATTCAAAGCAACCAATTTAGGCATGTACGAGGTTGGTCTCTATGATTCACTTGCTTGAGGCCTCTGAAGAGAGTTGGGGGTCTCCACTGAGCCCTTCAAGCATCACCTTTGATGCCTGCCCTACTAAGGGGAGATCACCCTAGAGGTGCAACTGAGGCATTCAGCACTTAGATAAGTCAATGAAAGCCATGGCACGACTCCCCAAAGGCCATTTCAGTTTGCAGGGCTTGAAATCGAGTTTCATGAAGTCAAAGCCAAGAAGTGGAAGGAAAATAAAGATTAAAACAACTTTTTTTTTGATTCGTACCACAAAAATGGGTTTAACCTCAAAAAACTGCCTGGGAAATGCTGTGATCTCAGCTTTTAACTTTGGTTGGAAAACTGTTTACCCCAAAGAGCTGGAATTTCCCCCAAATCTGAATTTCCTGCAGCATTTCCACCCAATGCTCAGTATGAAGAGTCCAGAGAGGGCTTTGTCCATCCTGCAGCACAGCCTGGTACCTGCTGGGGACAGTCAGGTCACTTCTTCCCTCTCCCTCCTCCCTAGGTTGAGTGATCCATCAGGTCCCACCAGTGTCCTGATGATGCTGGACACCCCACAAACCAAATGGGGACCTCATGCCCTTGCTCTGAGTTAGGCAACACATCAGGGGCTTCAGTGCTTCAGGAAGGTGGTTTGGTGTTTTCCTGCCTGGCGTGATGCTCATCTCAATGGCATGAGTGGAAGTGGGATGTATGGGGTGGCTGCTGGCCATAGAAAGGCTTGGATGCCCTCATGTCCCCTGCCTGGGGTACCACTGCTTGCCTTTTTGCAAGGTTTTATAGCTCCATCCTGCTTCCAGCACTGCTCCAGCCTTGCCCACACACACAGCTTGGTGCAGGGCTATATTTAACGCATGGCTTTGGTTGTGTGAGGCTGTAAGCTGGAGCTCCAATAGCAGAGGGGAAGGGTGACAACCACACACAGCAAGTCCAACTGTCTTAGAGGCTGGACCCGAAGGAACCATACCACAGGTACCCCTGACAACCATCCCATGAGGCCCTTAGGTATTTAATCTGCTGGTTATTATCTGCAACCTAGCATTTATGATGACGTTTGTGTTTGTTGCTTCATTTCAATGCTGCTTGTGCCAGCTCCAGCCACTGAAAGGACTCTGTGTTTGCTTTGTGCTGCCCTTCCAAGCGCCACACTTGGGCACTTCTCTCTCCGAGGACCTTTCTCCATGCCTTGCACTGGGGTCTGTTAGCCCCTTTGGAGGACAACAGCCCTCTCTCTGTCTCCATGTCTGCCTGGTTGGGTATCCCCTCTCCTGATGCCTGTGCTAACGCTGTGCCAAGTCTCTGTAATATATTCCTCCCACATCCTGGAGCATCTCCAGCTCTGCTTTTGCAGCGTGGGATGCCCCAAACCACTTGGATGTTGCACCTGAGGGGATGTTCCACTTGTGCTGGGGAGAGCAGAAGGGTTCCTTCATCTCTCTCCTACCTCTCCCATCACCATCACATCTTTGAAGAGGGTCAGAGAAGCTCAGTGCAGTCTATGGTGATGGTAACAACTAGTTCCTTTCCACACACTGCACAGCCCCTCACTGTTTAGGGTCCTCCAAGCAACTTTCAAACCCAAGGGGTGGATTCTGCCTTGCACAATAATGCAGCAAGGGGCACAGGTGATTTTCTGGACAGCCTCATCCATGTGTCAATGGCTTCCATTTCTCCATGGTTCCAATTTGCCCTGATTTCTGGTAAAAATCAGTAGTTAAGAATCACACCCACCTCTTCTTCCTCCCTGAGCATCTCGGATGTGTTGGAGAGGAGGAATGGCCACCAGAGTAGGGGAGGATGGCAGATTTCAATGCCCTTGTGCTGCAGTGCAAGGGGAATAGCTCTTCAACTATGCTCATGATGACTTACTTCCCCTTACATTAGCTATGACAAGAATGCTTTTCTGCAGCAAACCAAACCAAGCTAAAATAAAGCCATTTTTGCTTTAAAGTGGGAAAAATATACCCATTCCCAATTGTGTTTTCCTGCAGACTGTAGGGGGATTATGTCTCTGCTACAGCAGGACGTGTAAATCCAACACAATGAAATATTAATTATTAGAGTCTATCCAACTGGGATTCCTCACTGCTTTCATGAGCTGAATAATTCTGGCACACAGGAACCAAACCACACAAGTCCCCTTGGTTCTTTATATGAGGAAATATTGTGTGAGGAGTAAATGAGAGCTGAAGGAGAAGAGGGGGCTTGGATGGCTCCGGGGTGAAGAACAGGGTATGGAAGAGACGGTGCTCTAATGAAGAGGTAAAGGGAGGTGCATCGCCCATCGCAGCTCCTTCGGCATGGAGATGTGCCCTCGCAGCGTGGTGTAACTGTGAGAAGGAGGGTAAAGGAGAGTAGAAGTCGATTAATAAGTGAGCACACACATCTCTGAAGAGCCCTGTTATGCAGCACTTCAGAAGGAAGCATTCATCCAGCACAGCCCTGGGCACAAGCCCAAGGCAGACACGCTCAGCACAGCTCAAAGCCCCTTTTGTCCCCTCTCCTTGTTTACCAGCTTTGGGTTTGAAGCACAGCATAGAGTGTCATCCCGTGGCTAAGCAGATCTGGGAACTCAGGGTAACCCCAGTTTAAGCTTTTCCATGCTTTTTCTAGGGGAAAGTGCTGCTTGGGAGGAGGGAGAAGCATCCAGCAATGAGAATTCTCTGCATTCTCATCACCTTTTCATCTTCCTTTTACCCTGATTTCTCTGCAGCCTCTGGAAACTTGGACATGAAATATTTGGCCTCTCTGAAATCTGCATTCTTCTCTTATAAACACCTCCACTGTTCCTCAGCAGCTCGACCCAAATGCTGCAAATGCTTCTCATCGTCCTTTGGGAGATGTTGGAGGAACAGGTAAATGGAGGGTTGGCTGGAAGACACGATTCCAAGTGGTAGGTCCAGGGCAAGTTCCAGCCCTGGGTAAGGTCACTTGGCTTGGAAAGAGCCACAGGCAAGCAAGGGGTGATGAAGGACAGCTGCTGGAAGTGGAGATGGGGAGAAAGACTGCAGATGTGCGCAGCTGTGCACAGATGTGCAGATGAGCACCAAGAGGAAGAGGTACATGGCTGATGTGACTGACTGTTAGTGGGGCAGAGGGGGATGTCGTTGTACCTAGTTGGGGCTGGGAAAAGGGAGGGATGGAGGGGGTAAGGGGTGCAAAGGAAGAGATTTGTGGTTAGCGCCCATTATAGGTGAGATATATAGACATATATAGATACAGATATAGATGATATAGATATAGATATAGATGAGATGTAGATGTAGATGTAGATGTAGATACAGATATAGATAGATATATGATACAGATATAGATACAGAGATATAGATATGTAAAAGCTCAAGTTTCTATATACAGGACAGCCTTTTCCCCTTCCCCAGGAGCAACCCTGTGAGTTTGCAGTTTCCCTTCTGAGCTGGTGCAGCAGGGTTGTTATTTTTGCCCACCTCTCTGTGTGACTCCCAAATGCACCCAAGATAAGGAAGATTGCAGGAGAAACCCCTACAGGGATCTGCAGGACAAGCAGAAGCAGCATCTCTCTCCCCCAAGCTGCAGGACATAGCATGGTCACTTCTCCATCAAGCTGCCAGGGCGACAGAGCTCAAGCATGAGAAGCAAGTGAGAAGCTACAGGTTGGGAAGCAGCACAGGGAAGAGGTGGTGACCATAATACTTTATCTATTCTGCAGTGTGTTTGATGTCCATACCCTCCTGGGGGGATCTGACCATGCTCTTCAAGCCTTCAGGAGCCACTTCGTTCCACCATCACGGAGCAGGTGAAGAAGGACACCCGCATGGGACACCAAACCACCTCAGTCCTTAGCTAGCCTGGGTCCTGGGCATGCACTCAGGTTGCACAAGAAGGACTGGCAGCAATAGGAGGTGTAGGTAGCCAGGCCCAGCTGGAAGTTGTGGCGTGGGCAGGTCTCGGAGCACTTCTTGGTGATCCTCTTCCATAGGGACAAAAAGCCTTGTCCAAAGAAAGGAGAGAGCAGTCTTAGCAATGAGAGTTTGTTGAGTGCTCCTCAATCTTGTACAAGAGGGAGATGGGGAGATGAGTCCCACTGTCCTCCCACAGCCCCAAGGACCAGCATGGCCAGTGAGACCCACCCCACTCCCACTGCAGCCCAGTAATTGCTGGTGCCCAGCTACACAAGGCATAGAATCATAGAATGGTTTGGGTTGGAAAGGACCTTATGATCATCCAGTTCCAACCCCCTGCCATGGGCAGGGACACTTTCTACTAGATCAGGTTACTCCAAGCCCTGGCATTGAACACTGCCAGGGATGGGGCATTCACCACTAAATATCCCTGCTCCGTTCAGTATCTCTGTTGGGCATCTTTCACCTCACAGCATGGACCCTCATGTCAAGGCTTTTTTAGTGTTACGATGGTATCCATGAGACAATGTCCATGCCTGGACTGAAAGCACATCTCAAGGCCCCTCTGCTTGAAGGAACTAATTTAATTCCCCTTTACATCTCTCTAGATAGATCTTCTTATCCTGGCTCCCTGCTTCTTTTCATCTCCTTGTCTAATCAAGATTCAAATTCATTCATTCTTCCACTGGAGGATCCTCTCTTAGCCCTTCCTCTTCTCTCAATGTCCTCTGCCTTTCCATGCAGGCATGAAATCAAAGCTAAAGAGAAGCTGTGATTGGGAAAAGGACTTCAAACAGTCCAAACTTCATCACTGTAAGCCTGGGCTAGCAAACATTCCCCCTCCTGCATGTGCTTCCCCATGACTCCTCACCCCATCCATCAACAAAAGGCAATCATCACAAACCTAGTCAACGCCCCACATCCCATTCCTGAGACCCCATCAGAGGATACATGCCCAGCACATACCAACTCCTACAGAGGCAACATTGGTCACACAGTACTCATCCTTGTCTGAGCACTTATTGGCCTTCAGACAGCTCCAGTTGCTTTGCTCCCACTCGCAGGTGTAGCAATACAGGCCAGTTACTGCAGGAGGAGACACAAGATACGAAAGATGGAGACAAAATGCAACCAGTCCCGGCAGCAAAAATTGCCTCCTTCTTTCTGTCAACTCTCAAATGCATTAGGTGCAGGTTTGCTGAAGGTGATGGGACTGCAAGAGCCCAGACCAAACCCACTCCCCCATCCACACACTTGAATTTTACACCCAACACATGCATTCAAGCACACATATTTGTGCAGACAGGCATTGATGATGCACGTCTGCCCTTCCTGGCCTGCACTCAAAATAATAGCACAATCATAGAACCATAGAATCATGGAATGGTTCGGGTTGGAAAGGACCTTAAGATCATCCAGTTCCAACCCCCTGCCATGGGCAGGGACGTCTCACAGGAGACCATGGCACCCAAGGCTCTGTCCAACCTGCCCTGGAACACTGCCAGGGATGGAGCATTCATAACCTCCCTGAGCAACCCATTCCAGTGCCTCGCCACCCTCAGAGTAAAGAATTTCTTCCTTATATCCAATCTAAACTTCCCCTGTTTCAGTCTGAACCCATCACCCCTTGTCCTGTCGCTACAGTCCCTGATGAAGAGTCCCCCTCCAGCATCTTTACAGCCCCTTTCAGACACTGGAAGCTGCTCTGAGGTCTCCACGCAGCTTCTCTTCTCCAGGCTCAACAGCCCCAGTGTTCTCAGCCTGGCTCCATACAGGAGGTGCTCCAGCCCCTGAGCATCCTCATGGCCTCCTCTGCACTTGCTCCAACAGCTCCATGTCCTTCTGATGTTGGGGACACCAGAACTGCACCCAGTGCTGCAAGTGGGGTCTCACGAGAGCAGAGGGGCAGGATCACTTCCTCCAACACAATGGGCCAAGGGCACCTGGTTTGTTGTGATGCAGGAAGTGGGGAAGAGCAGGGTCTTTTGTAGGAGTCTATAAAGATGTCACGAGGGTAGATGTCCCCTTTCTAGCTGTTAGAGACTATTAGACTACTGCCTACTTGAGAAGTAAGAATTGGCAGTTGAATAGGGTTAATTGGGACCTCTACAGCCTAAGGAAGTCAGTCTCCCATGCCCACATCTCTGGGGGGGACTCCAATGCCCTCAAACATATATTCATTACCTGGGTTAAAAGACCACAAAGGTGAGGAGAAGGGCTTTTAGGGTGTGAATTCAGCCCTAAGACACAAGGAGTCTAACCCTTCATTTCTACTGCTAGGTTACCTAATGCAAATTAGGGCAATCCTCATTTTGGCACTGAAGACAACCCCTCTGCCCCCTGGGTCTTGTTAACACTTGGGAATTGCTACTCTGGTAAGTGAGCCAAGCCAAAGAGCAGCAAGGTTTTCTTAGGCCACAATGAGGCAGAAATGACTATTCCAAGAATTCATTTTCCTGCACCAGACAATGTGGCAGATCTCTAAGCGCTGGCAAACCCTGTTCCTCTTTCCAAAATGAGGATAACATTCAGTTATGAACTGCCTTTCCTACAGAGACTACAAGAACATACATTTAGAAGGCTCTGATTTCATTTGCATTCTCTCTGTGAAATAAAAGACATAATCTATAATGCAAATAAGACGCAAATATACATCTTCACCCAATCTCCCATCATAAGGCTGCTTAACCCACTCAGTCCACAGCCCAAATTATCCCAAATTCCCCAACTTTGACCCAAAATCTCTGAAATCAGGAAGTCGGGACTTTGAGTTGGGCAGAAATCAGGGATGATCAGTAGGGAGCTGTGCAAGGGCAGATGCTGTAGGTCTGGCCCTGTCCTATGGCTGCTGCTAGAAATGGACTGTGGTAGGAAGCAGATGCATAGAGTTGCTGATGCCTTGTGCTTTCATGGGCTGAAGCACTTCTGCATCAAGATTTAGAAACAGCCACAGTCTTGCATCACCTCAACAGACAAAAGCACTGGGAAGCAACTTCCTCCTTTTTGATTCCTTGTTTTCACAAAACCCAGTAATACGTGTGTCCATAGGGAAATTTCCCTGCATAAAATAAACCTTTTACACATCCAGGCTGAGAACACAGATTAGAAACCCAAAAAAGGAGCACCATGTCCTTCATCTGCAGCATTGCAAGAGCCAAGACACCCTCTCCCATGCTTCATTCCCTGTCTACGAAGCCTCCCTGACTCTAAAACATACAATTATTCTTTATCTAATAGCAAACCATGATACCTCACCTTGACCTGCACATAGGATCAAAGCCAGCACAGCAAGGAGAGAGGCCTTCATCTTCTCTGAGTAGTCTCCAGAGCTCGGGAAAAGCACCCTCACCTGAGGACAGGATATTTATCTTCCCTGCCTTTGGATGGAGTGATGATGAAGACAATGATTTGGAAACAGTGGGCAGGGATCCCGCATTATTGAGAGGCGAGGAATGCACGCGGGTTGTTTTCTCACCATGGTATTGCCTTCAGGCTGCTCTGATGGGTCCAAAGAGGAGTGAAAGCACTAAAGCGATTCATTCCATTTATTGCTTTTAATACTTTAATTTACCTATGGTCAGGCTAGCAGTGCTCCTGATGTCTGAGTGGGGTTTTTGTACTGTTCAGCTCCAATCTGATCATCGCATCTGTGGCCAGGTAGTTCAGTGAAGGCAGCTACGCAAAGCAAAATGGTACCGAGTAAATTAATGGCTTCATCTATGTGGATTACTGCCAGGGTTAGACCTGGAGAAGTCCCAGTATCTACAGTCAGGTTAGATCTCGTTGTATATTCGTGGCTGGCAAGATAAACAGGAAATGCCTTAGAAATTCCTGATAGCCTATAAAAGCTGCTGGTTACCTACAAAGTCCTAAATGCTCCCTGTCCTGGTTTTCAGAGGTGCTGCTCCATGAGGGCAATGGCTTTAGTGTTCAAATGCAGAGGCTGGGACACTGGAGGTTGGTTTCTAGCTATGCAACAGCTTTTCTTTGCTCTATCTGAGGAAAGGATAGAAATGACTTTCTGCACGGAGCATTTGATTCCAAGTCCAATCAGATATAATGTTCTAAGCCTGTGTGATTTCTCTGCATGCTTATAGTTTAGGTGGAGCTGGAGCTGGCAATTTCAGCCCTTCTGGGGCCCCCGTTTAAGTGCCTGTCCTGCTTCTGCTTCCAAGGAAAGAGCTAGGAGGAGGTTTGGTGCTGGATATCAGCAGACATCTCCATGAGTCACCACTCAACAAGCCACCGAGGAGTGGAGAGGATGAAGTAGGATCAGCTTGGGCAATCAACTCTCTGCTTGCCCCTTCCTTCTCCACCCCGTACGACTTGGTCTGCTGGAAGAGAAGAGAGACCCAACTATAGCTACACTGCTTGGGGTTTAGAAGATGGAGAAGCAGAAGAAGAGGCAGAGCCTGGGAAAACATGTGGAAGAAAGAGATTAGATGGATGAGGGAAGGGCTAAAATGACTCGGGGACAACATTAGTTTTTAGGCAGGAGATTGGTCAGATGAGTAAGCAACCCTGAAGCAGGGGTCATGCTCCTAAAAGACATCTAAAGCATGTGATGGGACTGATTATTACACATCACAATGATGGCATACACAGAGAGAGGAAGTTCAAAGGGACACCAAAACCCAAAGCATCTTGCTTTTCAAGACAAAAAGAAGAGGGGGGAGATTATTTAAGTGAGCTTTTTTGGCTGATTTGCAGCTATTTTTGAGGTTTCTGACACCAGAACAGGTCTCCCAATACAGGTGACATAAAGCAGGATCAACCAGACAGTGAAGTCAGCCCTGATAACCCCAGGAGCACTCACCATTCCTCTCCAACAGACATACAACTTCAGGGTGTGGAGAGGATAAGCCACATCTCTTGCCCAAGAGATGAAATCCTGCCAGAGCCAGGGACTGCATGCCACTGGGGATGCCGGAGAAGGTGTGTCAGTGCTCCCAGAAGTCACGAGGCAGGGGATGAAGATAGATCTATTCCAGAGAATAAGGATTGCCCAGTGTGATTCACTGCGTGGTGTCCTCCTGGAGGGGTGACACTTTGGGAATCAGCCTGGGAAGCCAAGGCTCAGTGTCCAGGAGCAGCCTGGCAAAGATTGTGCTGATAAAGCAGTTTGGCTTTAACCAGATTTGACTGCTTTTGGAGGAAGAATCATAGAATTATGGAATGGTTTGGGTTGGAATGGACCTTAAAGCTCATCCAGCTCCAGCTCCCTGCCACGGGCAGGGACCCCTTCCACTAGAGCAGGGTGCTCCAAGCCCCTGTGTCCAACCTGGCCTTGAACACTGCCAGGGATGGGGCAGCCACAGCTTCTCTGGGCACCCTGTGCCAGCGCCTCAGCACCCTCACAGGGAAGAGCTTCTGCCTAAGAGCTCATCTCAGTCTCCCCTCTGGCAGGTTAAAGCCATTCCCCTTGGCCTGTCCCTCCCTGCCCTTGTAAAAAGAAGGGGAAAACAATTGTGTTACTCCTCAGTATGATTATCAAGGTGCATTTTTTACTTCATTCCTTACTATTTAAACAAACAAATGTGCCTGACTCACTTTACCCCTCATTTCCAAGGACTGATGGTGTGAACATCTCTCTGACACGGAGCTGAAGAGAAGTCACCTGGTCCAGGGATCCAAACCTCCTCACTGACAGCAGGAAGATGACCTGCAAGGCCACAGGATGTGGTCCCCCACTGGCAGGAGTGGTTTGATGGACAAGTGTGATGATGGATAAGGGTGCACAATGGGCTGCCTGGCATTTAGAGGGTTGCCGGTGGCCCATTGAGGCAGATAGTTGGGAAGTTACCATCCTGGCCTCAGGTATGGCTGATGCAGATGTGTGAGGTGTAGGACTGCCATGGCTGGCATTTCCTCAGAGGCATAGATGGGAGACTGAGGATGGTGGGGTCACCCTGGATGGCCAACACATGGAAGCAACATGACTGCAGCATGGAAAGCAGTGCTTGGGTAGGGCAAGGTGGAAAACGGCAGTAAAGGAGTCAAGTATCCAGCATTACAGAGTAGAAATGAAGCTACATCCATATCAGTATACTAAATGTGTCCAGCATTGTGTCCAGGACCATGTCCAGCATGGAGGCCACGAGGTGGACATCAACAGTGCCTGTTGTGAGTCCTTCCATTGTGCTATCTCCTCCGTTTTTCTTCCAGACATTTCATGGGGCAATGGTGGTTGCTCCATGTTAAAGCCTTGCCAGGTAACAGGCTAACAATGATTAGTGAAACGTGGATGACAGCATTCCAGACCAGGAATGTTCCCAGGAACTGTTTATTTCCCTAGGTTAGCTTCAGCCTTGGAGATAGAGCCTTGCAGGAACATGAATCACATCCTTCAGGATGACAGCTGGGTCCCTGATTTTACTCTTGGCTGTGCCATCCATACTGCATATACATACATACATAGTGTACTGCACAACTGTGTTGGAGCTGGAGAGTAAACACAGCTCTATTTGGTTGCCCTCTGCAGTGTTATGGCCATTGAGTCTTCCTGGATGTAGAACAGAGATCAGAAGTAAGCCAAGGCTCTGCTCATCTTCTGAGAGCCTCATACTGAGCTCTTCTTACAGGGCAAGTGACCACATATGGAACCACAGCAGCAAAGAGGGACAGAAGCGCTACAACTGGGTCTCATGGGGTCTTTTCCTTTTATATGCCCTGATGTTTTTAACTGTTCAGCTTCCTGTGGTCAGAGCATGATGTCTGCCTCATCACTTCTTAGGTGGCATCTCAGAAGGTTCCCAAATATTGCCATTTATCCCACTATCACCCCAATCTGTATGTATTCCCATTTCCCACCCACCTCCTAGTACACCAGGGTCTGGAGGACAGAACTGGTCCTCAGTACCATGCATGATCGCACCACCAGGGCTTTTCCAGCCTTAAGTAAAACCTATTGAAGCAATTGCAGAATGAAATCCAGTCTTGTTCCACATCCTTCATTTTGGATGGGGTTGGAGAGCAGGAAGATGCCAGGTTAACATGATAGAACTTGTTTTTGGCAGGGAAGACAACAGTTTGAAGCCTGCATTGCCCTAGGAGGACAAGAGGCAGATCTGTGTGATGAGCAACCCCTGGTGAAGGCAAGATCCAGCTCTTCCCATCCTTGAGTCCAATGACAGTGGCTGAATAGTGATTTCCTTCTGGCTCTTTCTCTCCATCTTTCTCCTCCTCCCTTGGGCATTTACTTATGCTTGGTCTAGCAAAGCCCATTCTTTGTATGGTTGTGACCTCCCCAAAAGCAGGACAAGTTGGGTTGACACCATCCTCCCCCTGACTCGGATCTGTCCCCATCTCAGACCTTCACAGATGTCCCAGTGCTTAACTCCCCGTGAAAAGGGGAGCTTGGATCTAACGCTACCCATGGGAATACTGCAAAGTAACACGGTCTTAAACCCTGTGGTTTCTCCTGCCCAACTTCCCATGCAGTGGCCAGGAACTCATCATGGAAGTCCTGCTGTGGAACAGGAATACTCAGGTGCAAGAGCACAGCGCAGGCAGCCTGGGGCTAGGTTACATCGAGGTGTTGAAATCCTGATGAGAACCTGCCCCTTGGCTTCCTCTCTTTCAAGCAAGGCAGGGATATGATGCCCCAGGGGCATCCTAAATCTAATTACCAGTATTACTTGGTTTTATGGCATCTCTGGGACTCCTCTATTGCCCAAATCCCAGCTTGGTCTTGGTTGTTACACACAGGATCATACCTGTACGTGGGGCCATTAATAGGGATATCCAGCAGTGGTGTCCAGGTATACCAAGCTCCAGAGGAGGTCATCACCCTTCCAGCTGCCCTGGGGGTGGAACCACACTGCAACATAGCTGTAATGGAGGCAGCTAAGTCTATACAAGTAATACATGGAGAGCCCATGGACTTTCAAGGGCTGCCCCATGGCTGTCCACACTATTTAGCTGTTAGCATGGGTTTGGCCTGACCAACTAGGACCATCCCTGACAACGCCAGACCTGCTTTCCAATGTGTGTTTTGGATTCAGCCATCTCATTGTAGAGGGAGAGAGCTCAGTTATACACATGGGCACTAACTGAACCCAGGACCAGAAACCAACACAGGACATTTCATTTCCTTTATGCCTTCCCAACACTGTCCCAGACCTTGTCAAGACCAGAGTTTAGACAGGATACCAAAACAACACCATTGGAGGCGCAGATTCATTGTTCTTCCAGACCTTTCCCTATAAGCCTTTAGAAATATCTGCCTGGATGGAACAGTAAGAGACACACTCTGATCTGAGGCTGTGCTGATCTGGATTGTATCCTCCTCCTCCTCACCTCCATCTC